AGAGAAAGGAGATGAAGTCCAGAAAGGGGAAGTGGCCATTAGATTTAACTCCTTAGAAACAGAAACTGTCTCACTCATTTTTGTATCTGTTTGGTCAACAAATTTTTAGGTCCTTGCTGTGTTCTCGGGACCAGAAAAAAAGCTGCAAACAGGACAGACAATTGCTGCCGTGATGAAACTTACAGTCTTACATATATATGCCTTAAAATAAAGTAAAATATGTTATGTAGGTTTAAAAAGTAGTGTTAGGTATTGAAAATGCTATGGAGAAAAAGTAAGGAAGTGAGAAGGGAGACATGTAATAGAGACAATCTCACTGAAAAGGTGACATGTCATCAAAGATCTGAAGGAAGTTGGCAAGTCACATGACTGGGGAAGAACATTTCAGACAGAACAGTAAGTGCAAAGGCCCTGAGGCAGAATGATGCCTGGTCAGGGATCAGTAGGTTAATGTGGATAGAGTGGCATGAGAATGGGGGAGGTTAGTAGATGCAGCTAGAGAGGCAAGGAGTGCAGCACCTGGTTTCCAGCACACAGTGGATACCTGGTGAAAGTTGGCTGAACCCAGTTGAAAAGGCCTAGGAGTGAACTCTCTAGAAAGGATTTCCAGTGTAACTCAACTGCCTACTCCTCCACCCCCACCCATTTCCATTCAACTGATGACTCCTACTTGGTGTCTAGCCTAGAGCTGGCTATAGGCGATGGCTTTCAAACATTTTGACTACACCCCAGCCATAAGAAATATAATTCAGAGCCTAGAACACACATAGACCCACTAAAACAAAAGCTTCATGAAGTACTTTCCTTACTACATGCAATGCATATCATTTCTCTTGTTTTTCCTTTAATGCTGCTTAAACTCTTTAATTGATCTAACCCTGGGATTAAACCTGCAATTTGAAGAACGTTACCATGGGAAAAGAGGAGAAATACAAGTTGGGTCACTACTCTCAAGGCACTTACAATGTCTTTGGGGTGAACCCATAGTAATAAAATCACCACCAGGGCAGCCCTTTGTAGATAGTGAAACTCCTTCCAGTGTGCTGGCACGCTCACCAACTGGGGTGAGGTGGGGGTTCCAGAAAGAGAAAGTGAGTTGCTGGGAGGTTGAGTTTCCCATAGTAACTTGGTCAGTGGGTGGTTGTGCTGAGCCTGGAATATAGTCAAGATAGAGAAAGAGAGAAGTCCTTGGGGAAAGAGGGGGCTGAGGGTGCCCAGCAGGACACCACATCCCATACATCACCTCCCCCCCCCCAGGAGGGTCGTGTAGCCATCACCCGTGTGGCCAACCTTCTGCTGTGTATGTACGCCAAGGAGACCGTGGGCTTCGGAATGCTCAAGGCCAAGGTGTGTATGTGCTCGTCCCTCTACCCTGGGCCTGGTCTTGTGTTCCATCACTGTGCCCACTCCCACCCTCACCTTCCTGGAGTCCTCGTGTCACCCGGTGCATGTCTGATGTGGGCCAACTCTCACATCAGGCCGAGGCTGGGGGCTGGGTGCTCAGCACTGGGAGGAGAGCTGGATTTGGGATCCCTCTAGTGGCAGGCCTTGTGTGGGACTCATTTCTCTTCCCCTCCCGCAGGCCCAGGCCTTGGTGCAGTACCTAGAGGAGCCCCTCACCCAAGTAGCAGCATCATAATGGGCCTTGGTGGAAGTTGGGGTCAGAAAAGATAGATGACCGTTTGGAGGGGTGGCATCCCCTGGGAAAACTGGACTGTGGGGGGAGGAAAAACCTTTGTGTTTTCCACGAATAAACTTTAACTCCTGTCTCGTGTCTTGGCTGCTTTCTGGGATGGGAGGAAGCAGAGGACACAGAAAGGAGCAGGGATTGCTTACAAGATTCTTCATGTTCTACAAGGATGGCTTTCCACCCACTCCTTCACCATGACCTCCAACAACCAAATGGTGTTTGGTGGTGGTGGTGCCTCGGCAACCCCAGCTTCTCCAGCAACGTGACTTCACCTGGCCCCTGCTGCTCAGAGCAGAATCTTACCCACCTGGCTGGCAAAAACTTGGGCGTGAGCTCAGAGGAGCAAGGGGCTGGTGGGGGTCATGGACAAAGAATATAGGGTCCTGGGATTTCAGTGTCCTTCAGTCCCAACTTTGGTGTTGGGGTGCCATTTCTACTCTTGGGGTTGGGAGGGTGCCCCCTAGCTGCCTACAAGGGTCCACCCCTTTCCTCTTCACTCAGGCATTCACATGCTCACCCTCTCTAGATCTTGAAGGTCTTTGCAAGATGGGAGACCTCAGGTCCTGGGGAGGGGCCAGAAGAAGAAACCCAGAGACCCTCATCTCCAGATCTGGCCCCTCACCCCATCTGGCTGTTTCTGCCCCAGGTATCCCACTTCCCAGTATCCTTAGAACAGGTCTGGACAGGCAGCTACTAGCCCTTTTCCCAGAGCTATATGAAGGGACACATCCCAGGGAAGAGGCAGGTGGCAAGTTCCAGCTCCACCCAGAGCGACAAACTGCCCATCCCAGGCCCTGGGCTGTCAGGGAGGAGCAGAAGTTGCTGTATCCAAAATGCAGCTCCCAGAACTACACTGCAGCAGGGTGGCTGGCCTCCCATTAGTCCCAGCCCCTCCCGCCAACAGCCCTTCCTCTGGTGCCCCCACTTATCCCTCACCCACCACCACCAGAGGCTTTCTGCTCCTTGAGAGGTTATTTCTCACTCACTGGTGGCTGCGCCCCCCTGGCCACAGGTCCCAGGAGCCTAGCAATGCACACTCAGTCCTCAGCCAGCCCCTGGAGCCAGCTCTCTGGCTTGCGGGAACCCAGGCTGAGAGCAGACACCCAACCTGTCTAACCTGTCTGACGTCATCATCTCTCCACCCACCTGAGCCCCAGGTCTCCAGCCACCCCGCTCTTCCTGTTCCCAGCTTCCGTCCTCTCAGCTTCCTTACAGCACCCCCGCCTGCTGGAGCCAAGCCTTCCAGGGCCCTGCCTAGCTCAATCCTCTGGCTGCAGTAGTTTCTTTACCCCCAGTGAGAGGAGGGGCAGATCCAGGACTCTTGAGAGCTGAGGGTTTGAAGGCATTGAACCAACGCATAGACCAGTCACCTCTGTCCCCGAAGACTCTTGCACCCTCCATGCAGAGCCAAGATGGGGAACGGAACTGAGGATGATTATAACTTTGTCTTCAAGGGTGAGTTGGGGTCCATAAGGAAAGAGGAAGCCTGAGAGAGACCCAGAAAGAGACCACAGTCTGTTTTCTTATCGCCTACCGGAACCCCCTACGGCTCATCATTCCTGTAGATAAGAAAGCAAGCTGCAGGGAGTGGGGGAGGGTCTGGTTACTGGGGGAAAAGTCCTGGAGCTGCCAGAATGCTCAACAGTTGTAAAAAACATTGTTGATCACCCCTTTATAGTGCTAGTATATAGGCTATTTTGCCTCATTCCTAAGGGAAACCCAAATCCCTAGGAGTAGTCTGCCACTGCAGCACAAGAGATGGAGGTCAGACTTCAGAGAGGACTTCCCTCCTGAGAAGAGGGGCAACAAGCAGACTTTAGAGGAAGAAAGTCATCTTTCTGGGTAGATGTACAGGAAAGGAAAGAAAGGAGAGCTTTATCCCATCGTAGGGCTCCGTGAAGACATAAGGAAGAGGTAATGAATTGGGAGCAGGGTCTAATAGAATCCAGAGAACTTTTAAGGCCATGGCCTCGTCTTCTTTCCCTCAGAAGACCCCTGAGGTCCAAATACCAGGCACTGAATCCAGGCTGTCCCTGGAAGTGGGCATGAATCTTTGTTGTTCCTTTATCTCAGCCCCTGGGTTTGGCCCCACTATTGTTCCCCAGCATGCGGTGCCACCCCCACCCTTGCCTCCATTCCTCCTTCAGGGCGGGGCTGGCTGGCAGAACTGTGGTTCCCTGTCCAGCCACTCCACCCGGCCGCCTCTCCCAGCCTCAGCCCCACCCTCACTTAAGCTGGGACTCCCAGGCACTTGGCTTGGAGAACCTGAACTCCCAGCATGTTTCCCAGGAAGGGGAGACAGGGTAAGGGTTAGCAGGAGTCTGGGACAGTACCGCTGCTAATAACTATCATTTACTGAGCCTCTAGTATATGCCAGCCACTACTTCATCAGTCACTACAGCAACCCCCAAGAAGGTATCTTCCATTCTGAAAGCATCAGGTCAGGAGCCAGACTAGCTGAGTTCAGATCCCAGCTCTGCCACCTACTAGTGATTGCAGGGTGGGGTCTCCAGAAGCAGATACTGAGAAGTTTGGGGTGTAAGGTATTTATTATGCATGAACACTAGTAAAGGAAGGGGGTGGAAACAGCTTTAGAGAGATCTCAAACTGTAGTGCAGGGTCACACAGCCTTGGCCAAGGGCGATCCCCTCACCTTGCTGGGGCACGGGATGCAGGGTGCCCAGGAAAGGCAGGACCTCAGGTGAGGCTGCCCTCTGCACCAGAGGCAGATGCTGAAGGAGCTGTCAGCTGACTGCACTCCCTGCAGCTGGGGGCAAGTCCTCAAAGGCAAATCTGGGCAGCACACCTCCGCTACCCTGGCTGTGTTATATGGTGCAAGTCATTTTAACCCACCATGTGCCTCCTTTTCCTTGTCTGTAAAAGTGGGATGATAATAATAATGTACTTGCCTCATAGCATTATTGTGAGGGTTAAATTAGTTAATATGTATAAAGCCTTTAGGATGGTACCTGGCACATAGTAGGCACTCAATCTATGTCTCCGTTTTATTTATATCTCCACTTTACAGAAAATGATGGGACCGAGTAAGTAGCTTAGAAATGGTCACAAAGTCAGTACTCAAACCCAGGTCTATCTGACTCCAAAGCCCTTGCCCTGAGCACCTTTTGGGCCTAAGGATAGAGCTGGCAGCTCACCCACTGGGAGGGATGAGACGGGGAGGAGGTTCCAGGAGGAGAGGTAGGAACACAAACACACACACACCCATACTTGTCCCAGCTCTTTCCTGCCCTACACAAATAAGCATTTTTTAAGTTAGAGGGGCCTTTACAGATTTTATAAACAAGGAAACTGAGACCTAGAGAAGGTGAGTCACTTGTTCAAGATCACATAGCTAATCAGAGGCGAAGTGGGGACCAGAGCCCAGAAGATGTGGCTCCCGTGGCACCAGCCTGCACTCCCAGAACCACCCTAGGCGGCCTCCTCCGATCCTGGACGCTCATTCAGGGTCTGTGCAATCTGTGGGTCATATGTATATCAGCCCCCACCCATGCCCCTGAACACCAACAACCACAAGCAGCCATAGTCATTCCATCACCAGAAATGCAGGCTGACGTTGCAGCCATGTCTCAACAGCCCAGGCTTAGAACCCTGTAAGCCCCTTGGCTGCCCGGGATGGATGCATTGTGCAGAGATGCAAACCCATCTCTGCTGGGAGACCTGGCTCCCTGCTCAGCTTTCTGAGCTCAGTTCCCTTTTTTGACCGGCAGACTCCCCAAGCTCAGGTGGGCTCGGGGCCACTCTGACCTGAGCTCAGCCCTCATCCCTCTGCTCCTTCAGTGGTGCTGATTGGCGAGTCAGGCGTGGGGAAGACCAATCTGCTATCCCGGTTTACGCGCAATGAGTTCAGCCACGACAGCCGAACCACCATCGGGGTCGAGTTCTCCACCCGCACTGTCCTGCTGGGCACCGCTGCTGTCAAGGCTCAGATCTGGGACACAGCTGGTTTGGAGCGGTACCGAGCCATCACCTCGGCGTGAGCCTGGGGCCAGGGGACTGCTGGGGTGTGGGGCTGCTGGGGAGGTCAGGGCACTCAGCAGTGCGCTCCCTGGTGGACTCACAGGATGCCATGGACCAGCTCAGGAGACCCAGTACTGCGAGCCACACCCAGCCCTACGTAGGACACAGTGATACTGACCACTGGGCCTAAAACCAGGAGTCACTGCCACCACTTCCTAGGCCTTTGCTATATGCCCAGGAAGGTACAAGGCTCTTCACGTTGGGCATTTTCTGTAGTCCCCAAAGTTTCACGAGAGTAAGGTGCTGTAATTCATCCCTGTCTAAGTGCATGGAGCTTGAGGCTCGAGCAGGTGAGATCAGGGTGGAGCTGGGAAGCGGACAGGCCCAGGATCGAGAGTGCCCCTCACTTCTGCACAGTGAGATAAGTTTGCACTTGGCAATCTTCACCATTTAACCACAAACATGAAGGGCTGGACTCCTCAGCTGCATTTTACAAAGACTCAGAGGACAGAGGAATTTAAACCTCCTGACACCACATGCAGAGCCTCTCTCCCAGTCAGTGTCAGGCCAAGTGTAAGGAAGGGGGTCTGTGTGTGTGTGGTGGGAGACAGCAGCTGCCAGGGGACAGGAAGCAAGGGTCAAGGGCGATGGGAGCACACACTCATCACTCTTGGACAGTCACTTGACCTCTTAGGAGGCTCAGCTGACATCAGTACAATGGGAATACTTAGATGTCACCAGTCTAAAGAAGCCCTATCTAATTCCAGGAGTGAGGCTGGATATTTGCAAGGATGTCTCCGATGGTCAACTCAGGGACTGCTATTTATGGGAGGAATTTAGCTGGTCCTAGAAAAATGGCCACAAGAGAAAAGAGGGCACTGTGGATCAAGGAGGCATGTGAGGAAGATCTTGGAGGTAGGGCCTCCAGGAGGCTGATCTTGACCAGAGCCCAGGTATGTGTTGGTGGACAGCAGGGCCTAAAATCAGAACAAAGGCCCTGAGGAAGCAGAGGGGCTAGGCAGGAATGAGAGCGAGTGGTTCTAGAGAAGGGAGGTGAGTCCTGCAGGGGTCCAATACCAGTCTCCCTGGAGGGTTCACAG